AATATTTTGGCCATAGCTGAAATAATTCAGTGATTTTGGTTTTCATTTTAGTCAGATGACCGACATTTCAAAAAAATATTTATATTTATGTGTACTGCCGTAATTGCTAAAATATTTTGACTAAAAGGTGATTACTTCAATATCTGCCGCAATTAATGAATTTTAAAATTTTCAACGAAATTAAACTGAAAACGAGTTTGAAAACCATGCCTACTCTAGTGATAAAAACAAAGCAGGGTCCAAATTCAAGTGAAAACCATGCCTTGTTAGTAAGATATATATATTGCATCCGAAACCGAGATGCTTCCAATTTTCATCTGAACATTCTTACTTGTTTGTAGAAGTGAAAAAGGAAGAGAAGCCAAGCAACCTCAAAGGCACCCAAGGAGAAAATGAGCAACCAGCACCAGCCAAGGAAGACAATGGAGCTACTGATGAGATAAAAAAAGTTGACGGCGGAGATAAGAACCATGAGATTGTTAATAAAGAGAACGACAACAAGAGAGAGGCAAAAGATGAAGAGCACGATCCTATGAAGAAGGGTCCGCAAGTACATGAGCCTAACGTAGATGGGAATAAGGTGCAGGCGAGCAATGAGAACGAGGAACTCAAAGAGGCCGTGGAGAAGCAAGTGTCACCTACTCTCGCTGTCGATCAGACAGCGGTTCCAAGGAGCGAGGGAGATATCAAGAAAGGTGCCGTCACCGATAAGACCCACAAAGACAAAATAAGTGGTACATTGCCTAACTTTGCCACATCTTCCCATACTTTAATTTTTTTAAAGGAGGTTAATTAAAACCCCACACATGAAGCATAATAATTTTGCTTCTTGACCCCCAACTGGGATTTTGCTAACCAGTAAACCCTTACTGGCTAAGGTCTAAATAAATGGTTTTTTCTCCTGCATTTTCATGTTTCAACTCAATCATGTAATTGTGTTTTACTGCATTATTTCTACTGTATCAATCAATCAATAATACTTGCTTTGCAAAAGCTATGGAAAGCGATCTATCAATAATACTTGCTTTGCAGAAACTAAAGAAGAGAGGCAAGACGAACCGAGAGATGCCAAAGGACAAGATGAGCCACCTAGCAAGCAAGACACAGAAAACACCGATGAACCACAAACAGGTCCCGCCCTCTTGATTTCCAACGGCACCGATAAGTGTGCGCTTGCTTCCCACTTATATAAAGGCTGTATAAATCTAACGATAGCGCGCGCTTGCTTCCGCAGAAGGTGAAGACAAAGGCAAAGACGATGAGCAGCCCGCCGACGAAGACGGAGGCGGCGGTGGCGGCGATACAACCACCGGTGATGCGTCGAGCTCGCAGGCGTCGAAGCCTAAAGAGGAGACCCCTGCCACAGTAACCCCAACTACTGAAACAACCGCTTCTCCCCCAGCATTACCGCTTGCAACTACCACCGCTGCTCCGGCTGCCGTGGACGCCAAGGAACCTGGGAAGGCTGGCCAAGATGATGGACCAGGCACAGGCGCAGCGGTAGAGAATAATTGAAGATCAAAAGCATGCAGCACATCTGCCTAAGGTACTGAAAAATTCTTTGATCCAGTAGAATTATACTCCCTCCGTTTCAAATTACTCGTCACAGAAATGGATGTATCTAGAACTAAAATTCATCTAGATACATCCATACCTGCGACAAGTAATTCTAAACGGAGGGAGTATGTAACCCGAACCCGCTTTGCCACAAATCAGGTAGTTGTTCGATCAGGGTAAGAATGAGATAACACGTGTAATTGCTCGGTTGATTTTGCAGGTGCAGAAAATTAAGGGGGGAGGATTGTTCTGATGGCCACCTTCTTCTTCTGGTTGGACCGTTCAATCGCCCGGAAGTTGACATTTGGAAGAAATAACAACAGGCTGCTCGTACTTGTTACCAGCGATATATGTATACTTACCTATATGCTTATTCTTGAATTTAAATTTGTGAACTCGAATTCTATCAATAAATCTTCACGCGAATAAGATGCGGCTTTCTTACGCTCAATCTTCATGGCAAAGTAAAGATTGTAACATAAAAAGAAGGGAGAAATATATTCAACTACTCTGAAAGTTTAGATTTGGTCCCTCAACTTCAAAACCAGCAAATCTTGGTCTCTTAGCTTTTCAAACCGGACAGTTTAGTCCCCTCGTCTCAGCTGACCCGGTATCGCTGCCGACTCATCCCGGTTTTGGCCGGCCTTCGCTGACGCGGCAAAAAAAATTTCTCTTCGAACCTGCCTCCTTGCAGAATTTATGCAAAGGTAAGGCTGTTTAGAAATTCCCTTCCCCAGACCCCATCTTGCGTGTGACCTGTCAGCACTGGTGGGTATTTGATCGAGCAACTCGGGTGCATGTTGCACTGCCGCAGCTGGGGCACTATCTTGGAGCACACCACTGACCGGACCTACACGCCGCGGGCTGGTCTTAAACGACGACCGCCGGGTCCCAGGGCTCGGCCTCTCGACACATCAATGATGGGCCCCATTGTAGACACCGGTGAGGCGCTTGGGTTCGTCGGCTTCGTCCTCGTCGCGGAAGCGAGAGCCCGACGTGTCTACCCTGCTGGTAGGAGGCTCCACCCGATCCCTACGTTGTTGACAAGAACGTCGATGTTGTTAAGGTCGCGCAGCACGCGTCACACGACGGCGGCGACACTGCCGTCGGAGGTGGCGTCGAGCTTCCGCGCGGTGCTCAGGTGCGAGGACGGGGAACGCGTCGACCACCCGGAGAAAGCACGTACGCATGCATGCGTGCTGGCGAGCAGGCAAGTACGTGCGTGCTGGTGGTTCATAGTTCACCGTTGTCACCCAGTGCACGCCCGTACCTCGTCTGAGCTCGAGGTGGCACGCACGGTGACTCAGCTCGAGGTGCCCCGCACCATGGCCAAGCTCCACGTCGCCATTCGTGTGGACATACAATGACTGAGCTCGAGGTTCATGGCCAAGCTCCATGTCACCATTCTTGTGTCTACATGTTTGATCCTTACGATTTACACTTCCACTTCATCGGCGACGGTTGTTGCAAATGACTTTCCAGTCGTCTACTATAATAGGGTTTGTTTGGCTCTGGCGAGGGAGGGGCGCTGATGACAGGGTGCCTTCGGTTCATTCCAGTGCTTGTAGGATTTATCTTTTCCATCCAAGTTTAGAAGTGGAAAGTGAATTAAAGGTTTGCTCACTTCAATGCTTTCCCAAGTATGGAAAGTTCCCTTCAAACCGTCTTGTAGGATTCATCTCAACCCTCCCAGCAATGTCAACCCTCCAAGCCAACCGGTCCACAACACGTCTCCTTGCGCTAGAGATACGGGATACTGTGTATTTCAGTCCAAACCACAACCTTTCCAACTTCAGTGACTCTAGTGCAACCCTATCATCAAATTCTTCGATCAAAACCATCAAACCCTGGAAAATCCTTAACCCTTATGACATCATCTTTTTTAGTTGCCGAGACAAGACATCTGAATGACGAAGAGGTTGTCATCAACCCCACGAATCTCCGGTTCATGCGCAAGACTCCATGCAAATTTCAGAGTGTCGTTCAGCACGACACATTTGAGCGACTTGTTCGTTTTGACCTTCGGCACTGCACACCTTTGTTGGTTCTCCAATCCCCCCCTCCTCGACAAAGATGTCGTCCAGCTCTCCCTCTTTTAGATTTATGTTCCTCATTGCCACTTTCAGTCTTCCAGTCCTCCATCATCACCTGATGCCTTCTTACCCTCCTCCACCTCCCTAAAGTTCGATCCCGTCGACACCATTATCGCCGCTTCGACAATCCAATATGGCCTCTCTCGTCTGATCTTACCACGGAACACCAAGGGCGAGAAGATGAGCGGGTCATCCCTTGGGTCAGCCCAAGCGTCTGCGCAAGCCTGGGATAGGGCAGGGATTGGGATAGGTGGCAGACAAGACCTCAACGTTGGTGGGACGTCGACGGAGTAAGCAAACCCTAGCCGCCTACCGTGAAAAACAGGACCATCCTCCACATGCAAGTACTAAGTGAAATATGTTTTTTTGACGGGATAAGTGAACGACGTCCATACTAAACCACTTTTAGTGTGGCGATCAAGATGGCTCAGCAAAAGAAGCAAATAAGTTTTTTTCTTTAGACATAAAAGAAAATAAAGAAACATTTTTTTGAGGGGTAAAAAAACCCAAATAAGTGACTGAATCGTGGGTCCATGAGCAACTTGTGTCGGGCTTTGGCCCAACCAAGTAACAACATTCCAGGGCCACCACAGAGAGACTGCTTCGGTCTCTTTTATAAGACGAACGGCCCACCATCGCCACACAGTCCACCACCCACACCCAGTCGAATCCCCAAACCCTCGCCGGCTCGTCCGCCGACGCTGCCGTCTGACCATGGCCGACCTGAGACCGTTCACCAACGTTGATCCTGCGACGGCGGCCGCATTGCGGCGCAATGGCTGTGACCCGCACGAGGTGGACCAATTCGTGGAGCACGTGCTAGCGTACATCTACACCCTCGTCCCTCGCCCGCCGTTCACCCACAGCGGCCGGCTCACGGCCCTCGCCGCCTCCACTGACGGCGTCGACCGCATCAGCAGCCTCCCCGACGAGCTCCTGCGCAACATCATCGCTCGCCTCCCCGTCAAGGACGCCGCGTGCACCGCCGTGCTCTCCACCTGCTGGCGCACGCTCTGGCGCTCCACGCCCCTCGTCCTCAGCGACACCCACCTCCTCCCCGACGGCCACGTCTGGCCTCCTACGCGCGCCAACTCGCCGGCCGTCACCGCGGCCATGTCCCGCATCCTCGAAGCGCACCCGGGGCCCTTCCACTGCGTCAATCTCGTCTGCAGCCACATGAATTGGTACCTTGCCCGGCTCGCGCGCTGGATCCAGCTCCTCGCCGCCAAGGGCGTCCAAGATCTCGTCCTCGTCAACCGACCGTGGCCGCAAGACGTGCCCCTCCCCGCCACTCTCTTCAGCGTCAGCACCCTCACCAGCCTCTACATCGGCTTCTGGAAATTGCCGAGCATGGACGTCCTGCGCGGTGCCTCCTTTCCCCACCTTGTCGAGCTCGGCATATGCAGCGTTGAAATGGAGCACGGCGCCGTCGAGTCCCTCGTCGCCAGGAGCCCTGTCCTGGAGATCCTCAACATCGAGGGATGCCGAAGGGAGCTGCGTCTACGCCTCGTCAGCCAGAGCCTACGCTGCGTGCAAATCTGCAGCTCGGTTGTGGAGAACATCACCATGGTAAAGGCTCCATGCCTCGAGCGGCTTATCCTCTCTGACAGAGTTGGTCGTGGTGCCTTCAGAGTCAGGATTGTCAATGCCCCCAAGCTGCACACGTTTGGATTCTTAGAGCCAGGACAGGTCCTAGAGGTTGGGAAAACGGCCATCATGGTACATCCCCTGGTCTCCCATGTCTCTGTTAGTTCAGTTAGCAAATATGTTCAGCTGATGACTCAATTAGTTGTGTGATGTTCTTATTGAATTGTGAAAATTTCAGCTCGGGATAGAGGCAAGCACAAGTACCATGCTCACAACCGTGAAAATTCTGAGCTTGAATGTGCGTTTCGGGGTTCGCAGTGACGTCGAGATGGTGCCCACCTTCCTCAGATGTTTTCCCAACGTTGAGAGACTGCACATTATGGTATTTGTCACCAATTCATGTTCTGCTTACATTTCTAGGGATTTCTTACCTGTTATTTACTTCCAAGTCTGTTATTATCTGTCATTGTGATAGCTCTCTATATGGTCGTTTTGGTTTTGTCCACTGTAATGTGATGGATTATAGTGATGCAAGCTAGTGTTTAGCTGCACAATGATTATTATGCTGGCATCTTGATTTATAGTGTTCTGCTTCTGTAGGCATGTCCAGATTTTCTTTCTGTAACAGACATGAGACATGCAATGCTTATTTCTGTCTTATGAAAGCTACACATAGTAAACTAGCACATTCATGTCGACAGTTCTCGAGGCTGTTTCGGTATTGGTAATACAGTACCATAATCGCTATATGGATGCTAGTACGCTAGTTTGATCATATCAGGACCTTAGGAACTTATCCTTACTAATAGAAAGAGGCTGTTGTAGCTCACATCCGAAAGTTCGTGTTAAAGAACATATCTGGCAAAATGTTGTTAAGACCAAAGTCCTCCATTCTGGACTGAAGTTTGCAGCCTCACATATATCTTAATTTACTGTCGATGGATTTATGCTCAGCACATCTTGTTAGGATAACATGATTCATTGTTTTTTTTTTCTCTGCAGCCTGCACTACTAGGCTATTTCGTAATGTGTACAGTCTGGTACTTCCACCCATTGAAATATAGAGTTGTCATTTCTACTAGTACAAATCAGATCCAACATTTAGTTATGGACCAGTATAGATTCCAGTATTTAGTGTTGAGCAGTTAGCACTGCATGCAGTGTAGATTCTGAATCTTAGCCTAAAAAAATGCTCCATTTCCTCACAAAAAGGGAATTATAATACCATTTTCTTTTCTAACCTTTTTCTTCCTGACAGCTAATGGAAACTACAGACTTATTTATCTCAGCTTATTATTCTTAACAATTTCCTCCACACATCAATTGAAAAACTTGTTCCATCTTGCAGCATATTTAGTTGCTTGCAGTGTTCTCACTTATTTGCATATATCTGTCAAGTCAATTATCATTAAAGTCCTTTATGGCCTTTTTATTTTCTTCTACTGTGAAGTGTGAGCCATGTATTGTGTTATGCATGCTAAGCTGAGTAATTTGCCCATGAATAACAGAATAAGATGATGATAACGGCGTTATTATGACTAGGCATACCTGACAAATTATCATATACAGTACATTCTTATTCTTGACCAATATAGCTAAAATAAGCCAAGCATTACCATTTGTTCTCAACAATCAGGTCGTCTGTACCATGTTCATCTGTTTATGTTATGATATTTGTTACTGATATTTTGATTTATATTGCTTTGCCTCTTGACTTCTGGTACGTCCAACTGTTGACCGATCTAATCTGTTTTTTGCAGAGCAAAAGATGCGATCAACCCATTGGTAACCACCTCACCCGCAAGTTCTGGGAGGAGTCTGGTCCCATCGAAAATGTCGTCTCGCGCATCCACACGATGTGCCTCCGCGAGTTCAGAGGGGACACTAGTGAGGTTGGCTTCCTGGAGTTCTTCTTCGGTAGCGCGCGCTCGCTGCGGTCCGCGTTCATTTTGATGGCCAATCCACTTTTCACGCCGTACTCGACCAAGGAGGCGGACGCCAAGGTGAGACACAGCTGCAGAAACATGGTATCTGAGTCCAGCTACCAGTTTGTGGTTGTGAACCAAGGACAACCAGGGGGTGCTCCCTGGAACTTCAAAACCGGGGCGGATTTCTCTTTCCCTAACCCATTTTCGTTCGCCACGGGGGTCTTCCAAGCTTAGCCTCTGTAGAGTAGTGCGGTGTCGTGTTTTCGTTGCAAGCCATGGAGTGGACGTGGTATATCTATTGCTACCCGCGGCCTTATGTTGGTCTATTGAATTTGCGGCTTGGTGTCTGATGCTATCAACTGATATTTTACTTGCCCTGTAACCCATGCTACCAATTTCCCTGTCTATCTATCTATCTATCTATGCTCCTTGAACCATTTCATTGTGGCTAAATGTTCCATTCCTGGTGTGTGTGTGTTTTAGATAAATGGGTAGCCGAAAATGGCCCCCCCTGTTCCGTTCCATCTCTTGAATGGAACATGATAGATAGTTGAGGTTCTTTTCAATCATGGAAGGTGTAGAAAAACTAGGGTAACAGTAGCGAAGCATTACACTTGAGGCAGGGGAAGCAACATAACCAAATAGAGGAGCTTCAGCTCCGTCCTCATGGCGTCTTTGCATAGGTGTTGTACATCCATCCATGCGCAGCCGCCCCTTGACCACAATGTGTGTGTATTCAGGGATGGTATGGTTGGGGTTCCTGGGATGGCTCTGCTCAAACCCAATCTCACGGCATTTTACATTCTGATTTGCTGGAGTATGTGGAAGCAAAGGAACAGAGTTTTTTGGAAGCAAAGGGACTGGCTGCTGGGGAAAGGGAAATTGTATGCCATTTTGTTTAAAATCATGATGTAGTACGAAGTCAATTTGTTTGATCATGTAATATTGGTTGAGCTGGGGAGTGGATTCTCACCCACCTGGTGGTTTCCTTAGTTTCTTTGGGAACACACCAAGCCACACAACCTGGTGAACAATGGGAGTTTGCCGCAACCAATCAACGTTGACGATGACGCTAATGGTGACCATTGTGCAAGGACTGAAAAACTCCTGATATCGACATAACAGGAGCTTCGACTGGTAAGTTTTTTTAGTATGCATGCTGGCTCCATGTGTTGCATTACTAGCACGACAATAAACCCCTTTTGATAATATTGCAGGTTAGTGTCTGGTTGAATAATTCAAACAGACCCGATCTAATCGAATTACAAGAAGAACGACCAATATTGGAATGATGTTGATGTTGTCTACAACAATATCATCCCCAAAAATGTGAAGGGTCGCTTTGGAAGAATTAAGAAAAGGGTTGCGGTTTTGTGAGAGCTATAAGGAGGCTGATGCTGTAGTTGTGAAAATGATGCAGATTTAAAGAAGAGGGCAATGCAAACTTATAAGGCAGATCACAAACAAGATGGTCCATTTATGTTTGAGCATTGTTGGGAGTTTCTAAAAGACCAACAAAAATGGGATGCCTATTTGAAACACATAGAAGATCTAGAAGTGGACAAAAGAAAGTATAGTGTTTGATGATGAAGTGGGGTAGCATTTCACTCTAGATGAGCTCAATATGAACATCCACTAGGTGGCAAGCAACCTAAGGAGTAGCACAAATGGAAAACAAAGGATGAATGTTGTATAATAGATTGCAGATGAGCTTAGCAAGTTTGTAGATGCTCAATCTCCAAGGTGGAATATGAGAGCATCCTTGTACATTCTTTCACCTCCTATTGGGCAAAGTAAACACAATCTATTGAACTCTGTAGTTTCCTCCATCTTGTGCAAGTCAGCGCCATGGCACCGTGCATTGCCCGCCATCATGAAGGGTGCCACCTGCTCGGCCATGGCCAATGGCGGTGCCGGCGAGGTTTTGTGGATTTCGGGGTTTCTGAGCGGACTGTGGAGGCGACTTGTTGATTCTGCAGTGGTCTCGATGTCTGCTTGGGACGAATTTGAACACACGGTTGCTCATGGGCCCATAGTGATTATGGACCCGCGAGTTAGCCACCCATTTGTTCATTTTGCTAAGCTCCTCTCTCATCACTAAAAATATGCCATCTCTCATCGCTCAAACGCTTGGTTGGGTTAGCTTAATAATGCTACGTGTCACTTCAGTTAAAATTATACTCCCTACATCCAAAAATAAGTGTCATGATTTTAGTTGAAATTTGATCACAAAGGAAGTACGTTCTATATCGGTATAGATTGTAGAACAGTCCTTACACAAAATTTCTTAGAAAACATTCTTAATAACCAGATTGATTATAGCACGCCACCGCCCTCCACCGCAAGTGTCCTGCACACATACCTTTCCCCGTTCCCAGAACTTTATTTATTTTATTTCGATCTTATCCTTTTACGAGATACTCTCTTCTTTCCAAAATATAAGGCATGCTTGACTTTGCACAGTCTTCGATGCATGACTTTGACCATAATATATACCAAAGTACATGAATTGAACATGTATTGTCATCGTATTTGTCTTGCAAAACAATTGTGTTTCATACTCCCTCCGTCCGAAACATAACCATTTTTAGGACAAGTATTTTCGGATGGAGGGAGTATGTCTTTATAATAATTTTGTAGGCATACAGTAAGTGAAAATCATAGTCCAAGTTGTGTGATGAAGATCAAAAAGGTCAACGCACACCTTATATTTTGGAAAGGACGGAGTACTTCTTGTCGCGTGTGTCATACAACCAACACACCTTCATGACTGCATAACCTCATCACGTCACCCGTCTATTTCACAACAGTGTGCCCATGTGTGTTACTCCCTGCATTCATCCTCGCGTGGGCTGCAGGCTCTTCACAATTGCTACAACATTAATATTGGGAGGGGGACAGGCACCCAGAGATGCGTCGATGATGCGGGAAGGACGCCAACATCTCCCATTGCTGCGAGCGGGATGACACGCAATGTCGCGAGCCGGCCGTGTGCTGCAACAAGCGGTGGCTAGCTAGTGTTGCAACCTTAAGGGGTGGAGTAGGCGACGCAAAGGGTTGGGGTGAGTGTGCGCGGGGAGAGTGTGTTGCTGTATTCGACGGGCGTGCCAACGCTGCCACAAGGTCGGGCACTGAGGTAGTGATGCTGTG